AGGCCTCCGGCTTCACCTTCAGCAGCACCCAGATGGTTTGGGTGCGACAGGCGTCCGGGAAGGTGCTTGAGGTCATTGTGGGTATTTGGAGTGATGGCAGCAGCCCAAGCTACGCGTCGTCGGTCAAAGGGCGCTTCACCATCTCCAGGGCCCACTCCCAGAGCACGCTCAACAAGCTGCAGATGAACAGCCTCAGGGCCGACGACACGGCCACCTACTACTGCGCGAAAGCTGATGGTTATTGTGGTAGTGGTGGTCTCGACCCTGGCCCTGTGTCCCCACATTCCTGCGCTGGGTCCCCAAATCTTCCCAAAACCCCTGAACCCAGCCTGGACCCTGCACCCAGCCCAGGGCCTTGTCCCAAACATCAAATATTTGCCACAACACTCAACTGTTCACATCAAGCGTTGACCATTTTCCTCAAACCTCTGCCATTTATCCAAAATCTTGACAGTTTCTCCCATACTTTGACCCTTTTTGCCCAAAAACCTTGACATTTTGCCTGCTTGTCGAACATGTCAGCCTCAAACCTCGACTGCTTTCCCCAAACATGGACCCTTTGGCCAAAACCTGGGCCCTTGTTGCCCCAAACCTTCACCCTTTGCCCAAAATCCCAACTGTTTGGGCCCCTAAACTCAACCGTTGGCTCGAAATCACAATTGGTTGCATCAAGCATTGACCCTTTGCCCAAAATCCCAACTGTTTGGGCCCCTAAACTCAACCGTTGGCTCGAAATCACAATTGGTTGCATCAAGCATTGACCCTTTGCCCAAAACCTTGACTATTTCTCACCCAGCCCTCAACCATTTGCCCCAATCGTCAACCATTTCACCCAAACATCAACCCTTTGACCCAAATCTTGACCCGTTTGTCCCAAACCTCAACCATTTGCCCCAAGCCTCAACTCTGCTATCCAAAAACTTTATTTTTGCACCTCAGCTCCACCGTTGGCCAGAAAACTCGACCGTTTCCACCGAGCTTTGACCGTTTGCCCAAAACATTGACCATTTTTGCCCCAGCCCTCAACCTTTTGACCCCAAACCTTAACCGTTCAACCCAAATCTTGACATTTTGCCCCAAATCTAAACCATTTTTGCCCTAAACTTCAACCATTTACACAAAGCTTTGACTGCTTCCGTCCAATCTCAACTATTTTTGCCCCAAACCTCAACTCTTTACCCCCAACCTTGACCCACTGGAGCCCCCCTGGGCACAGAGGACCCCCCCAGCACGACACGTCCCCCAGCAGCCCCCCCCCACC